TGGTTGTCAAGAAGGAGGAATATGGTGACTCATCCCTCCCTAATCTCCCTTTCCTGGCCAATTGATTGGGCTTTCATATCCATTAGCCTGGCTTTCATAGTTGCTGTAATGAATGGCCAGACTACAGACATACTTCGAGACCAAACTTGTCTCTTAGAAAGAAGAAAGGGAGAAAAAGACAGCAGAACAGCTGCAATTCACACAGGTATCCTGAACCTCTCAGTGGAGTCCAAGGATCTCCAAGGCAACATGAAGAAAGGTTTAATGACATTGTAATTTAATTAACTACAAATTATTCCACTATTGCTTGACAAACCTTGAATCTGTGTTTTAACATGGGTGCATAAAATGAAACTGTTTTAGATTGAACCCTGTTTCCTAAAAAACTAAGTTCTACTTATTTGTTTTGTTAAATATGTTTAGACTGAAATATAATTACTGGATTCTGTTTAGTGACACTGTTTCCAGTGAAGAAATGTATATGTTTTTGTACAATGAGGTGGTTGAGGTGGATGATGGATGTTCAAGGCACAGGGCATCCTCAGTCCTACACGTAACACCAGCCCTTTGGTTATAAACTGTTGATAAAGTAAACACATGCTGTCTTATACTTCAAGTTTTAATATTTAATCATGTGGTTTTTCCCCGACTTCAACCAAGTGCGGACAGTGCCTAAACATAAGCACAAAAACAAATATTATATGAGCAAATATCAGGGTTGGCAGTTTAAAAAGTGTAGTCAGTAATCGAATCCAACAATGTAACCTTATCATTAACCTAACTTTTCATTAAGCAAGCAGTAGCCCTTTAGACCAGTTTCACATCTGGAAGGCATAGCATGCACTATACTGTGATGTTGTTCCCCTTTCTGCTTTAAATACAAAGTAATGGTGAAATTCCCATCCAGTAAAAGCATTTTTTCACTAGAGGCCATAATAATGGAGATGAGTTATGGAGTCCAGAGTGGTGTTTTGACACATGTGTTATACTTTTTTTGCATCCTGATTATATAACTCTGTTACATGCAATCCATTACTTCTAAGCCTGGATATCATATTGCAATAGCAAATATTTTAAGGTAAAAAAAATATATATACTGTCAGTGAAAATGTGTACACCTTGCGACTCAGCATTTTAATTAAACATTTTGCAATAACTAGTCATGTAACCAATTATGTTTTCAAATTAAATAACGCAATTACATTTACTGAAATTTAAATGGGTTATTTTTTTCTTACCTGAAAATAGTGGACAACTGCAGAAGACGAAAGACAAACGCAGCACATCTGAAGTTTCCTTATGTTGACAAAAGAACTTAGTTCAGGCAGCAAAACGTACTTGCTTCAATCAGAATTCATACTGTACTTGTTAAAAAGTATGACTTTGAATATGTTTTGTTCACTTTCAGTATTGTGACATTGTTTGAAGTTATGTTCACAAATAAGCTGACAGTGTTTTCATTCAGATCTTTTGTGGCTGCTTTACGTGGCACAGAAATGGACCCGAAGGCATGTGACTTATATGTTTGTTGTATTCAACACAGTTAGATTTTAGTGTTTAGTTTTGCAAACAAGAAATTTCTTAAGATTTAGCATTCTGGCATTAATGTTAACATGGAAGAAGGGCCACATAACTTTATTATTGTTTTGATCAAGGCTCAGTTCAGTCACATCGTGGTGCCGTAGATGATTTCGGTGTGTGTGTGCACTTGTGATTTCATATTGGTGTCAGATAAGGATCAGATATGAGTATTCACACTACAGATATACATACAGTGTAAATACAGCCCTATGCACATTTCAGGATATAGAAATCCTCACTAACTCAGACATTTTTTGAACATTAAGCAGTCGACTTTTAGTTACCCCCACTCACCCCACATTTCTGACAGCGATTCATCTCAGTGGGATTCTTATTGGTACACTGTTGGATGATTATCACCAACACATTCTTTCAGCCTGAATGCCCTCCACAACACCTCTGTAAAAAAAAAAAAAAAAAGTTACGCATGAGAAGAAGCTGACAAAGACAGCCAGACGGGAAGGAGAGAACGACAGAATTTAATAAAGTTCAACAAGGCAGAAAGGATTGCACAAGCAGTGAATAGCGATTCTGCTTTTTTCTCCTTTACAACTTCTGCCTACTTAAACACTTTTACACCCCCTCCTTTTATCTGCGTCTGCATTCACAGAGAGAGGAATAGCTGGACACAGAGGGAGACGCTCATTCCGTTTTTTATTTGAATGTTGACCAAGGATGGCCACCATCTGTGCAAACTGTCTGACTCTATGACTCTACTGAATCTCCAGCCATAAATATCAGACAGAGCTTCACTTCTCAGATAATTTGCACACACAAATTCATCGTCTCTGCTCTGTTTTGCCACTATTTAGGCTTTTAGCGCGATTCTCTTCAACTGACAGAAACCGAAGTAGTGTGCCATTTTCAGCAAACAGTGATTTCTGTCTAACATCATCTCACACCCTCGTGTCCCATTTACTGTGGCATCTGGTGCTTTTGTTTTTCTTATTCCTCGTCATAAAGAAAACCTCTTCAGACTTTCAAGAAACCCAGCCTACACTTATCTCTTGCTGGGTAGTTTTTTTTTACCCGGTCACTGAAAAGCCTTCCACTAAGCTCAAACACACAAGGGGAGGTGGTGAAAATGGGGTAGATGACATTGTTTCAGTGATATGGATGTACGGCTTAAAGACAAAAGTGTTGGTTGAATGTTGTCATGTCAATAAGCCATCAGTCGCGCCGCTAACAATAAGTTAATGATTCCCCAGCAGTAATACATTTATGAATAGAGAAGTGTCTTCTTCAGCCCAGCGGGTGTGCCCATTAAAACAGAGCATGAACAAAATAATTGTGATTTGCAGATAAAATCCACTTTAGAATGGGATTCCGACTGAGGAATTGTTGAAAGAGCTGTAATTTTCCACTAAAACATGACACACACTCACAGGAGCCCTGCTAATCAACTTGAGTATGTGTGTGTGTGCGTGTGTGTGGTTAGGTGTGTGTGTGTGTGTGTGTGTGTGTGTGTGTGTGTGTGTGTGTGTGTGTGAGTGAGGGAGCAAGAGACAGAGAGAAAGAGAGAAAGAAAGTGTCTGTTTTGAAGTCTTTGTACTATGTACAAATTAAATGATAGGAAATGCATTTAGTGAGGTACAGTGTCTCTGTTTAAAGTAACATTCTGTGACCTCTTGTCTTAAAATGATGTCTGTTTTTCAAGCCTTTATAGCAGTAACGCAATACTGATTCAACTTGTAGAAAGTATGAACACTTATGCTGTTCTAAATATTGATAAGAAAGACTTAAGTTCTTTTGAAATATTGTATCTTTACACACAGTTCATAGACATGCACCCTGTGTGGGTCACAAGAAGACATTGTTTTGTATTACGAAAGGTTGCACAAGCAAATAAGTTATGAAACCACTGCAGTAGATGACTGGTCAAGTAGTCCCAGACACATTTCAAAAACTCACACTTTAAGCGCTTTTTCAACGATTTTAATGCACATTTTCAATCTGAAAAATAAAAAACAACCTGAGTGGAAACACCAGAAATTCAAAACATAGTCCAAATATCTCATAAAGTTTTTTGCCTTGGCTGAGGTGGAAAAGTTGTTCTATTGATAAAAACAAAGTGTGACAAAGTGCAGTGGAAACAGACTTAGTTAACAAATCCTGACACACAAGAAGCATGTGACCTATTTATCACTCAAGCTTCGACTGAAGAGAGAAAAATTGTGGCAGACGAAAACAGCAGATCTGTGTGGACTGATGAGGAGACGGTAACATTCCTTAAATTAATAAATGAAATGACGAAAAAAACATATTTCCATCATGTTTTCCACTGTTCGAGGTTTGACAATTAAATCATCTCATTGCACCCTTTTCTTCTACAATGGTTTATGGCATCCAACTGGAGAATTAGAGCCACCAACAGTTTATCTTGATGTGCTCAACTCCTATATTTGCATAACAGTAGTGGATAGAAACACAAATTAATTCATCTTTCCACAGATTTTCTGAAAATTGGTGGAAAATTTGCATTAGACATTTGGATCAAGCAACAAAATGACCCGACACATCTCATTGCAGTGGTATGGCGGCTATATACGGTAATTTTTGGGACATTATCTTGTTACCCCATTTTATCAACAAGTTTTTAATAGATACCTCTGATTACCAATTAGCTAGTGCACCAGTGTGATTGAAAGATGTCAATTTGTATGCCTCTAAGTAAGTAGCAGAGACTTCCAAATGGGGACATAGCCATTCTTTTGGTGCTTTGGCCAAGTAATAAAATGTCTAGACACCAACTAACATGAATTTCCCTGAAGAATTAGTGTCATCAGTGTGAGAGCCCTGCCCTGCACTCTGGGGTGCAGTTTGAAATACTGTCTTTTAAATCAATGCTCACCTCTCCACTCTTCCTTTAATTGAACTTTGTAGCCTCCTGTCAAGACCTTTTGTCTAACAAAACAGCCAAGTTCTTAACTGTAATAGAGCTAAATCAAACTTTTAAAACTCCTCTCTGTCATGGAAAGTTTCTAATCTGTCCACTTAATTGTGATTGATTATGTTGGCATATACAGAATTTGAGATTTTTGACAGTTCTAGGCTGAGAGTTTCTCGCAAATGAATGTGTGCTTGTCCTTTGCAGCATTCCTGCCTAATTTATTATTACTTGTAGATTTAGCACTTATTGCTTAAGTTTTAAGATTGATCTTCAATTTGACTGTGTTCTGCCCAAACTACAGAATTATGTTGGTATAGTACAAAACAAACAGTTTTTACATCCGCCCGTGACTGTGGTGACTAATTACTTGAGGAGAATGTTGATGCCTCATAAAAGAAAAAGGCTCAAAGTGAACACCAGCTCCAAAAAGAATGAAAAAGCAGACGTAACATGTAGCAGCGACATGTAAGGTGATTTAGAAATGGTACTTTTATTAACTTTATTTTTTTCTCCCTGTTTTACTTGCAAGAATTGGCACTTTGGAGGAAAGTCCATGCAAAACATCTCCATCTATCATGCTGGCTGGGTTTCCACAGCAGTGTTATTGACATAGTAAATTAAAGGAGGCACACATCAGGTAGCTGACGGATCGGAGACATCAACAGCAAACTTATAATCGCAGCTCTGTCACAGTGGGTGAGTTTCTCTCTATTTTTTTTTACGTCCATACTTCTCATTTACTTCTGCCTCTACACTCTGTAATTCCCTTCTCCATTCTATTTTATGTACATCTAAAAAAAGTATGCCCTACTTTATTGGGTGTGTATTTCCTCGTATTTACCTGAAAGCATGCATTTGTTGAGCATAAATATTCAGTTTTATTGGATCTGGAAAAGGATAAAATACTACTACTCTTCATTTTCTAAATTTGCCACAAGGTATTCAGTTTATTTATTTATACTTTTATTTTGTTAAGCAGGATTATTGGTATTTTTGGTATCTAAAATTATTTTTTACTGGTGTGTCTTTTCCTGTTTTCTCAAGTTGTTCCTTCCTACTTAATTTAAACATTGTTGATTAATAAATGTGAAAATTCATGAATAGTTATGTAAGAAAAGAAGAAACTTTTCAATTTAGGTAAAAAAAAAAGTAAGGAAAGTCTGCCCCTCTGCATGTCAATACTTGACCTTCCTGTGTTTTACATTTTCTGCAGTGAAAAGCTTCTTAGTTTTTCCACTTTTATAAATTTCCCCCTAAAACCTCAGCTCAGGAATGCCATGTGAAGACATCTGTTTTAGCCCTGTCTGTTGCTGTATGTGATTATTAAGAGGAATTACCGGTGTCAAATCCAATACTGGTGTCTTTCTTTTACAAGAGATTATGAATTATATGTCGTGACTGCACTATGACACAAGGCCTTTCATTTGGCTTATGCTCTGAAACATGTTCAAAAAGTTTTAGAAGAGTATTTAAGGACAGAGAGATGAGTGTGGTCTCCTTATGACAGAGTAGTTATTGGACATGAAAAGTGGAATCACTGTAAAGATGTTTGCTGTTTATTATATTATCATGTTGTGCAACATCATTCGGCCTGAGCAGAATATTGTTTTGTTTCCTGTTTGAAACAAGAGTGGGGACTGAAAAACTTTTTGGAACTAAGGAGATGCATCAGTGAGAGACTTGGAAAAAATGCTACTTCTATGTTAGAGCCTGGATCCTCTAAATGGCATGGCAAACTGCCCCGGTTACCATGGCTATGAGGGGGTTTGAGAGCACATTAATCATGAGGATTTAGGTTTCTTTCTCTTTTATTTTTCCAAAAAGACACAGAATCGCTCAGACGTCCTTTATGAAGCTGATTTATGATGTTCAATATCTGTGTGTGTAGATCATGGGAAATGACTCTGAAAGGTAACAGTTTATGAGCGAGGGAGGAGAGCAGCGTGTAGTCTCTGTCAGCAGACTGCTTTTGTTGTTGAATGTGTGTTTAAGTGGAAAATAGCAAAGTTAGCAGTGGAAAGAAGGATTTGATCTGCAGCAAAGAGACAGGAATCTATGTCAATTAATTATGCCAGATCTCACAGCATTTGGATTATTATACACATTACCTATGTTTCTAAAGGTTTATGCTGTGACATGAGTGGATATTAATGTGTGAACAGGGGCTACAGGGATGCAGGTTTTATAGCTTAATGAAGATTAAATGTCTTGGAAAAGCTTTGGCATCAAAAGGTGTATTAATTTGCTACAATGGCCACATTTGGCACTTAACCAGCCCCTTGTTAATTGTGCAATCTGGAAGTAGTAGATGATGTCTGTTGTGGCTGCACCCAGACTGTCTAGAGTAAATGGACTCTTTGTGCCCACACATTTTACCTATGACAGACAGGCAGCTGATAAAAATGAGATCATGCATAAAGAAGTATCACTCTTGCTGTTGTGTTACTTTCAGTAGCGATCTTTTCCCTCTTCGTCTTTGGTCAGAGACAGCAGATTGATGACGGCGTGACAGAGTGACATTGCATTCTGGGAACCCAGGACTATGGCGATAAATCCATGGCGATTCAGCTTTACAATGGCCTACTGTCTAGCCATCAGAGGGTAGGAGGTTGTTACTGCATCACCCTAGTGAGCTGCTAGGGTACAACCATTATGCTTTCTTGAGGGGGGAAAGGGGGAAAATTAAGACACCAGGGGAAATAGTGAGGATGGTAATGAATTATGAAAATCTAATAGAATGAAAAAGAAGAAGGGGAGAGAGAAAAACTTCTTTGGTGAGTGGAAATTTCCCACGCTCTTTAGACGTTAAATCGCTATGATTCTTTTCAAGAAGATCTGTCAAATCGGAGCCTCGGCTGTATTAGAAAGCAAATAAAACACATGAACAAATAAACACTCCAAGTTTCTTATTGACCTTGGAGAACCAGCTGTGTTGTGAGTGCAGCTCAACTTGGCTGTCCGCACCCTCCCTCGATTCTGCTGAGAGAGAGTGTGTGTGTGTGTGTGTGTGTGTGCGCGTGTGTGCGTATGTGTGTGAGCAGAATAGAGCTCTTGAGTATAAGGGTGTGTTTTTGTTCAGACTGCATGCGTTTGTGTGTGTCTTTGTGTGCATGCACAATAAATGTCTGCAGCGATGTAATTCGATTGCTTAAAAACAAGCACCAAACTTATTGATAATTCCCATGAAGTCCCAGCTGGCCACTTGCAGGCTTGGGATACAAGTTTGAGAGGTCAAATATGTTTCGTTGTTCTTTCACTGGGCTATATGTAGAAAAAACAGTCACAATGTCCTATCAAAATAAACATTTCAGTGGCATCAAATTAACAAAAAAATTTTTAAAAGGTGAAAGAACATTTTAAAATGAAAAAGTGTAATGCTGTTTTACTTTATACTTGAGAAAAACAAGTTGCAGGATTAAAGTGTATTATCATTTTTAAGTAATCCCAGAATCAGAATTGATTGTATTGGTCAGTGTAGCTCTTAATATACAATATAAACAGGGATGATACAGATTCAAAAATAAGATATAAATTAAATATAATATATGGACAAACTATGTATAAACATAGAGTATTACTGTATGTACAGGATTGTGGTTCATGCAGTACGAGAGTGCATGGCAGTGCAAAGAATGTTGGAATGAATACTGTAGGGATAATAGCCTACTCTATTCACAGGGTGGGCTAATGTCCATATTATATATATTATGTATAGTATATTATGTACAGTATATACAGTTATGCTAAGACCTGCAGGTGACAATGAAAAAACATTATGTAAAGTTTTTATATTACATTATATTATACACACAACCGTTAAAGATGTGTTGTGAGTAGACATTGTTTAATTTCAGTGGGTCACAAGCCAAGTGGGTTGGGAGCCAATGTTCTGTTCTACTCTATCTAGCCTTGGAGACTGATTTGATTCGCCCCAATACAAAGAAGGTGAATTGAATTTTATATATGGTGCTTTGTAATATTCAAGAGTTGTGAAGTAACTCCAATGAAAACTGCTGACAGTGGGATAACGTAACAACAACACAAGTTAGGGAACCTTGTTGTTTTTCATGTAATTCTTTTAATACTTGGAGCAGCAAAAAAAATTTATTTGGGGTATCTGCAGAAATAACCTCTGTAAATAGAACCAAAACAGTCAGCATGGCTATACCACAAGACATTATGTTTGTGTGTGTGTGTGTGTGTGTGTGTGTGTGTGTGTGTGTGTGTGTGTGTGTGTGTGTGTGTGTGTGTGTGTGTGTGTGTGTCCGTGAATGTGATTTGGGTGAACCAACCCTTTAAAACACACACACTACTGTAAAAGCAATAAATTCCACCTATGTTGATAGCTAACCAACATTTTCCCCCTCATGAATAAATGGGCACAATCACTGGGTGGAAAATATTTTACTCCTGCATTTGATCACCACAAAGACTCTTGGTGATTTTGGCTCAGTAATGGGTGCCATACCTCAACTACCAGCGTTCCCAAAGCCTCCCCTTCTTCCCTCCCAAAGCGAGCTGGAGCTGGAAGCAGCTCTACAGTATCTCCTCCTGTGTGATCAGGCCTGCAGCACTTGTCATCTCCCTGGTGGCAGCTTAGATTCTCCAATTTTTAGGTTAATTAATCAAAAATGATTTCTTTTCTCATTAGCCATGCAGTTGGTTTGCAATCTGCAAAATCGATGTTTTACAGATGTTTCCCTGGGTTTTGTTTTTCGAGACGGCGCTGATTTTTATTGGGTATAGATTTAAGAGGCTGCTGAGGGATTGTGAGTTAACTCAGCCACACACATGCAGCCACAGACACACTGAATGTATATTATAGATAGTCACGTGCTCAAATAAACACCAACATAAATACAGTACATACAGAACAGACTCAAACTTGGCTCCTTCTAACTTACTTGCAGTACCTGGAATCTTAGTTCATCTAACTGATACGGACAGCAGTTCTGCTCTCTTTCTCCATTTTGGTTTGCCTATATCGAGTTGATCGTTGCCAAACCCAGGGGGTTCAGCCACACACACACTCTCTCTGGGTAGCACTCTTTAATCACGTAACAGCTTCTGGTTCTAGTTCCTGTTGGTTGTAAACAAATGTAATGTTGCATTTCCTGCAGTCTAGACATAACAACAAACCTGGCAGAACCAGAGAGGGGAGCGATTGTGGTTGCTAAGGAGTGGCTGGCACAAGTCAGCAACAAACCAGGGTCTGAGGTATAAAGGAAGGAACATGAGGTGTTAGGCATCTTCTTTAGTCTTATTTTGAGCTTTGCATCACTGAGGAGGGTCACAAATCATAGGTAAAAGTTAGGTAAGTGTGTTATTTTGTTGAAAATAATTAGTCCTGGGTGTTAAAGATGCATTTGTGCAAAAGTGTTTAAAAACTGTCGACACATTATTTGTATTTTTTCCCATTTCACATGTATTCTCTATTGATGAAGTCCTTCATGTAAAGTTTTTGGACCCTGAAATGTGCCCTCAATGCCATCTGCTGCACAGTTGTTCCACTGTGTGCAGTAAAGTTGTATGTGTGTGTGTCTGTGTTTGCCATTTGTATTTGTGTACACCAGTCCCCACCTACCGTTCCACTCAACTACACAGGAAAAAGAAGATGAAGCAGAGGAGCAAAGGAGCCCAAACAGAAATTATTATTGATTTAATCACATAATCAGCCGCAAACACTTCAGGCCAAG